TCAGTTATGAACTGTATGAAGTGTGTAATTCACATGGTTTACTTGAAACACGATACAGATAAGAATCTTCGTGCGATAACATTATTATAGTGTATGACATAATTTTATTACAAATTTTATTGTATAACAAGGTGATCAAAGTAAACAACATATTTCAGCAACCGTTAGTAAATCATTTGCGACTCATTCAGTCATGTTATTACGTTTATCACATAATTGTGGCTATTATTGTAAGAGTTTTTGTTTGAATGCCTGCAACATAATTACAATGTACATGTATGTTTCCTGGGGTGGCCTTCTTTTAGCATATGTCTGTCAGGTTCCACTTTAATTTGTAAGAAAAGCAGATAGGATTAGAATTTAAAACATGTGTATATTATCGTTGCAAACTATCCTTGATTAATCCTAACTCATGTGATATTTAAAAGCATTTATTTCATTAGAACTCGCTTTCCTATTTTGAAATAATCACCACTTATACATATAACAGATGGGATAACTCGTGGTACTGTTTTATGGAACACGATACTTACTGTCAATTGCCTTCATGTATTTTTACGTATACATATCAAAGGGGCGTGTCATATTCGCATATGTAGTGAAGACAGATGTTTGAATCAAAAGAAGTTAGAACTTATCATTAGTCAAACATTAACCCACTGATTTATGGGCTCAAAACTACTACGTCACACTATCATTTTGTTAGGAAGTTATTAGCAGTTTTCGTATATATTATGTTTTAGTTTAGTTGATACCGGAAAAGAGGACGTTTCATATTTTTCAGTTCCGCCATGTTAGGAAGTTGTTAGGATTTTTTTTTTAGGTATATTTATTTTCCAGCGCTATTCACTGTCGCATCTCCAATGTGAAAGTTCATGATATGTCGCCAGCTGAATTTTTTTCCTTTGTCATGGTATATGTTTAACGAATCAATTGTTCAGTACCAGCTCTCGTTACCCGTATCATTATAGAGGATTAGTAGCTGAGACAATGGGCACATTAATTAGGCACAGCAGGTGACAGTCTAATCATTTCCACCGGCTTTGAACTTGGGAAACTGGTACAGCGTAATTTATCTCAATCGCCAAGTATAGTAACAGCGGTCTTTTGTTTAATAATTAATGCTAACCAAACATGGTAACCAACATCCGAGATGTATTGTTTTCATTTATCTTAATTGCCAATTATTGTAATAGTGGTTTCCTTTTCATTAATTAGCGCTAATCAAATATTGTAATTAATATTCGAAGCGTATTGTTTTCAATTACAAACACTGGCTAAAGTGCAGCTGACGCATGATAGAAGTTAACCCTTAGAGGGTTAGTACACACAACGAGTCGAACTGGGCTCCGGGCAGCATACTGAGGGCAAGGAGGCGGAGGCAGAGAGTAGCAACCGACTGACATAGCACCTACGACGGACCGCCAGCTCTACGTGCTCAACTACGTGTATCACAGGACGCACATTGGATCCAGATCCAGTCCTTTCCCCGACACGTCGCAACACAGCCAACTCTCTACACGAATCCGTATTCTTGCGTTCAGTTAGCCTAAGTATCAACAACCATTGTATTTAAAAGTCACGTCTTATCTCATCAATATATTTATAACTAAGTAATTTTGGTGTTTCTTCATCATTGTGTGCGTCTGCAAGCGTTATGACCCGGCACCTCAAGCTGAAGCCAAGTGAGTCAAAAGTTCCCCAACTGCAGAATTAAGCCGTTTTTTCTCTCACTCCTGGTCCGAAACAGAACTCACACCAACCCAATCCGACTCGAAACCATCACCCCGACAATTTGTTCCACTATCTTAGCGATACTTAGTGGGATATAATTTCTAACATGTGTTGGTTTCCATAGAAATTGTCAGCATCAAACATCGGCCTGTCGATTATATCTTCACTTTCTCTGGCTCTTTAGGTTGAGCTCTAGTGTTCATTCCCGATCCCGACTTACCCGCTCTCGATGTTTTCCTATTATTCCACATACGTACTGTCGACACCTCTGTATGTTTAGATGGTCAAAGTATCATTGCTTGAACTAAACACAACATAATTCTTCATCCCTGTAGTAACTGTTCATATGTCTTGCAGGAAGCCTGGCGTCTTCCGCCTTAAACAATCATGGCCCTTGGAGTGCACCAACGGCGATTTTTGTATTCCATCCCTCGACATTATGTGTACAAGTAGTATATGTGTTTTGTGGTAATGGACAGTATAGCGCTCACTATCATAATGTGTTTGAGTTGCCATGGTTATGTATAGGCAACACTTATTTTCCATATTTTTCCATATATGCAGACTGCAGAATTGTCTCACGTGCAAAATATTCATTTATGCACACAGGTTTCACCGTTTCGGCAACACCAGGCATAACCAAGGATATAACATACAATCCAACCACTGAGAAGAATACAATAGAGGCGGATTTGCAAACAAGAATGTTAAGAGCCACACGTGAAAGTAAGCCATCGCAGATCTCCTCATCTGCACAATCCACTATAGAGACGATGGGTATGTATGAAGTTACAAATAAAATAAGCACGTTAATGCATATTATACAGGCAAACAAGTGGTGAATTTCAACAATTTGACCCTGATATTTTAGAAAATCGTGAAAACAAAACTACACTTATACAATGTTTGTTTTTCACAAATATAAGTTTGATATTATTATGTTAACACGCATAATATAAGTACTCATTGTTGAAAAAATGAGTTCGAAGTTGTATCAATCTTAAATATTAACATCATCACAGGCATTGACAACGAAACAACCATGTTCTCAACTGTGCAGGAACAATGGACGTTGCAAAAAGGTAAGCGTTTACATAATATAGTAGTTGATATTACGTCAAAAACTCCTCTTTTTTCGTAAGAATGTTCGCCTTAGCCTAGGATATTTTTAAAAGGCGAGATAGGATTGATGTTGTATTAAGGTAGAGATGCAGGTTCGTGGGCACTTGGGAGTGAATTTTTTTTTT